GGTAATACCTGATCAGTCCAATATTTAATTAGGAAAAAGTTGTAGAAGTGTGAACAATCTTGTTCTGCAGGTTCAAAGCTTGGCTTTTAGTTACTTCTGTGTATGTATGTATAAATATTTATGGACTATATTAGAATATTCATGTTGCACTACCTATTGGTGGGAGAAAGAGCATTTGATTAAATTGTGATCAGGCTCCTATAATAAAATCTATTATAGGGTACTTGACCAGCAGTTTAAGCAGTACACATTTCTTTTGCATCTAGGCTCCTGTTGGGTACTGGGATGTTTTTTTTTTTTTTTTTTTTTTCTTGTGTCTGAAATAGCAGCTAACTAGTCAGTCATCAAATTCTCTGCCAAGCACTCACAACCATGTGCAAATTTCTTACATTTACCTGGGGATTCCCCAGGAAGATACATGTATTTCCAGACTGGCTTTCATAATCTATGTTTCTTTGTTATACTTTTTCTATTATCATTTTTCACTTTTTATGCATGTTTTCTCTGTCAAGTCTTCCTTGTTGCCTGTCTCTTCTGTGTGCATTTTTCCTTCCTCCTCCCATATATTTTTCTAGTTCTAACTGCAGTTTCTCACACCCCCGGCACCTCCTTGCTGCAACATTGCTCTCATCAAGTGTTTCAGAACATTCTTTCCCACCGCCACCCAACATGCTATTAGCATAGCTTTAGCTGACAGCTACGTAGTTAAAATGGCTATCAACAGGCAACATTAATATCTTATTCTCGTTGCTTATATATTTGCAAGTGTAAGCTGTTTACGTTTAAGTTTTTCACACAAATGACTGCCCACTTCTGTTTTTGAGGTGGTTTCATTGTTTCTGAAGTTGAAGATGGGCAAAGCTGATCAAACAACTTCTTAACAAAGAAAGGGTAGTTGCTACTCTTGCAGCAATTTTGATGCTCGTCTGACCTCAGCGAGCTGATTCAGCCCCTAACCTATAAAATAGAAAACGGATATAAAAAAAACTGGGTTGTGGTTGAGTTCTTCGGGGTAGGGGAGGGGGAGATTCTTTCAGGTTAGGGAGTTGTATCAGCTTCCTGAGAGATCAGAAGAGCAGCAGAGCTGCTATAAGGAAGAGGAGGGTACCACAGGGCTGGGAGCAAGAGACAAAAGAGTAAGGGACAGAGGAAAGGAAGGGGAAACTGCCACTTCAAAAGAAGGTGGCTGCTGAAGAAACAGCTGACCCAAAGAGTAAGCTTTTTCATCCTTTCCTTGTGAAGAGCTTTCTTGAGTAGAGATTTCCTTTTGGCAGAAAGTCACTCTGGAATATTAGAGAAGTCTGTTCTATACTTGTTCAAAAAAAAAAAAAAACCTTGTACTAAGTATGATACTTAAATCCATGAAAGTTAGTTTGGTGTGATCAGTAGAGGGCTGTTAAAAAGTAAAATCTCTTCCTGCCCTCTCGATGGAGGGCTGCAAGCCCCCTGCTGCTCTTGCTCTTCCTGGGTCTGGAGTCTTGCTGTAACTTTCTCCTGATGACCAGGAGCTGATACAGCCCATAGACAGAATGGGAAGATTTTCTGATATGCTCTTACTGATTTTCTTGATGTCACCCAGACATCATGGAAGAAGATAAGGAACAGCTTTGTTTCCAGTCAGTACTGAAGACTGGTGGAAAAACTGGTGGGAGAGAATAAAAACAAATGATTTGGAGACTGACAAGAAAAGGCTTCAGTAGATAATGGCAAAATAATCTTCAACTGAGGAAGTATGACTCCGCGCTTGAACTTAGCGCTTAGAATCAAATCTGGTATTAGAAGAGGCTGTCATAGTTCTGTTGTCTGCACAATATGTAGGCACACCATTTGTACTGGGATTGAGTAGAGTTACCCAAGCATCAGCTTTATTGGCAAACCGGTGGTTTTTATCTCCATGTAGCTGCTCCTTTGCCACAGGTTGATGTCTCCTCAGTTATGCGAGTGCAATTGTTCTTGGGATTGTGCTCTAGACAGAGAATTGACCAGCATTTAAAAAGAAGTGTGGGGTGGTTTTTTTTTGTTGTTTATTGTCTGAGCTTCTGTGGCATACAAGCCTGCAAATATTTGTATTGGCACAGCTGAGGGAGTTGTGAACTCCAAGTGTGAAGATAAAGATGAACCAAAGAGGGCAGGAATGTCTTAAATTGTTGCTGAAAAGTGTTCGTGCAGTGAAACTTCAATACACTGTACGTTTATATTAGAACTTTTTGTTTTTCTATCCAAGTGTTTCAGCCTTTTTGGCGATGTGTATAAATGTTAAAATGAATCTGCGTGGCCAGTTCTGGTTTTATTTCTTAACACATCATAAGATGTTTTATTTCTAATTATTGTGTTTTAAAGGCTATTAAGCTGTAAAGTCAAGCGCTTGAAAATTAGAAAATACCAAGATTAAGGCTACCTTTGTAGGATTAATTTGGTCCCTTGCCATTTGTATATGTCGCAGCCTTCGTTACTGTTCAAGTGATACATTTCTGTTGCCCCAAAGTGCTCTGCTTCCTTCACTGCACAGGAGAAACTGTGCTCTGAGAATGAAATGGCGGATTTTAGTAGGGTGTGTGTTTTTTGCCATGTTTAATGTCATAAATTGAAGATGTTCTGTATATAAGAAAGGCAAACGTGGGAAGATGATATGCTTATGGGTTCCGCGTTAGATGCGCATAGTTTACTCCTGTCTCTGCCAACAGCATTACTGTGTTACAGTGGACAAATAGATGCACACTAATTGCATAGTGTTTAGTTTGTCTTATATAAGAAACTGCTCTAATCTGCAGAAACTATAAACTATATTGGTGAATATTGTTGTTCAAATGTTACTGTTAGTGTTTCTTAGGGGTATTTGGGCTCTAGATTTCTGTGAGGGGACCCTAGGCTGACTGCAACTTTCAAATAGCCTTGCTTGGAGCAGGATAAAGCTTTTTTTTTTTTTTTTTTTTCTTTCCCTCCTGCCTCCTTAAAGTGAGCACACCAGAAACAGCAGAATTTCTTCCAGTTTCTAAAGATGTATTTTAATAAAACAGTTTGGAATACTTTCCTAGTTAAAATAGAATTCAGATGGCCTGAGTGAAGCAGGTTACAATGAACAATTTGAAAATATTTCAAAATACTTAACTAATATTCCCTTTACCCAGTCTGTTTTTGAAGCACAGGTTCCGCAGCAACTTCTAGTGAGTGTCTCTACAGTAATGTTTTTAGTTCAAATTTCCTTCATAAGTGCGCTGCTGATCTCTCATCTCCATGTAACAAGCTGTAACTTGCATCACAGATGAATCTTTTGAGTACGTAAACTCAATTCCTTTCAGATGAAGCTAAAGCAAAAGATGCGTTCCTGGCACACATGTTGTAATACGCTCCAAGTGTTAATGGGTATTCAGTCCACGAGGGTGGATTAGGGACACACGCACGCGCACACACGCACTTGAAGTAAGTCCACAAAAGAGATGGATAGACAGCTCCCCAGACAGACAAATTAATAGATGCTCTTTTTTGATGGATATGTGAGGAAATATGCATTGCAGCTATCTGAGTTAAGGGTAAATTAGTGTGTATGAAACACTCCAAACAGTTCTGATGAAGAAACAGTTTGCTACTGCTATTGTCATGACACTGTTAACTCATTCGGTGTGTTTCAGGGTAGAAGTGGTAGCCCAGTCCTGTGAGATGAGCAATGCACTGAGACACTGTAGGCAACCCTCTTTAAGTCATGTTCTCAATAGTACCAGCTTTGATCATTGCTCGCTTAGACCTGTTAGTTGTAATATTTCCCATCCCCATGTATTAATTGCAGGATTATGACTTCTTAATACAATATTTTGATAAACTTTTCAGATTTGCTTGTAAGCTGATAAATAGTAAAACCTTTTGTTACATGTATAAATATCTAAAAAACTAGTTTCTGAAATCAACTGTAAAAAGAGGATTGCTTTTAACAAACAAGGGTCATTGATTTGTTTTACTGTCCTCATAGAGGAAGGTAGTGTAAAATTAAACAGAATTATAAAAGCGTCCATGACAATGAAATTGAGTATTACTGAATTCTAGTGTGTGTGCATGTGCACAGATAAATGACTTTCAATTCATACAACAGTAGTTACTTATTTAAATTAACGTGAAACCTGACTTTCTGCTTTTTTTAATACTTAATCAGAGCAGTCTGAGTTGTTGAAGCATCCTTCAGTACAGAGTAGGCTCTATTGTGAAGCATATGGGACATGGAGATTTCGGCACTGCAGTTTAATTTGTGCTTATTGTACTCTTGGATGCATCTCGGAGTAACTGTTCCTCAAGTATATGCATAGGTTTTAGGCACAAAGTGCTCTTTTCTAATGACTAAGATGGGGAGTTCAGTTCGCTGATTGTTTTTAAGCTAGAACAAAATAGTTCTAGGATACTTTGATTAAAATTAGGAAACTTTCAAGAAACTAGATCCTGCCAGTGGAATTATGAGGAGTGACACATATTTCATAGCTAAAAGTATATATAAACAACTCATTAAGTCATCATGTTTGTTTATATTTAATCTAGACTAGAGACAATAATCCTTACTCCTTCTCCCTCCCCCAACATTAGTATCCCTTTTCATCATCCTACTAAAAATTACCAGAAAAACCTCTTAATTATTAATATTAGTCAGCTAATGCTGAGGAAAAGATGTTCAAGTGTGAAATGATTACACTGTTTTCCTGTCTGTAGAGAAGTGTGCATATATTACAGGAAGAGCTGCCCCACAACTAGTTAGGTATAATAACCCTCGTGTAACATCAGCTATTTAAGGCATATTGGAAAAGAGAACCATAAGCTGCTGCTTTTCATGCCTGTGCACCTGTTGGAGCTAACGTATTAATTCCCACACCTTTTCTCAAAGCTTAGCTGCTTTCTTCAACAATGTTGGCAGTATTTAGCCTGTTTATCAAGTACGGAGGGGTTAGGTATGTTTGTGTTTAACAACTGATTACATAAAGAAACCTAAAACCTTTTTTTGTGCTTTTTTCAGAAACGTCAGAATCATGGAGGGGCTCTTGCATTACATAAATCCAGCACATGCCATTTCACTTCTGAGCGCACTGAATGAGGAGCGTCTAAAGGGACAGCTATGTGATGTTGTCCTTATAGTAGGAGATCAGAAATTTCGAGCGCATAAGAACGTTCTGGCTGCCAGCAGTGAATACTTCCAGACACTGTTCACGAATAAGGAGAACGAGTCTCAGTCAGTGTTTCAACTTGACTTCTGTGAACCAGATGCTTTCGATAACGTGTTAAACTACATTTACTCTTCATCCTTGTTCATTGAGAAAGGCAGTCTCGCAGCTGTGCAAGAACTGGGCTACAGTCTTGGAATATCCTTTCTTACAAACATTGTTTCAAAGAGTCCTCAAGCTCCTTTTCCGGCTTGCCCTATTAAGAAAATACTGTATCAGGACGAAGATGAAAGTAGCTCTCAGAAGAGAAGTGTCATTGTCTGTCAGAACAGAAATGAAGCACAAGGGAAAACGGTAAATTCAGCGCAACATGATTTAAGCCATGCTTCTAAACCTTCATCGTCTGTTGCTGTCAAAACTAACAGTAGACCACAAGTAACAAAACCAACAGAATCACTTCACAGCTTGTCATTGACTGAAAGGAGATGGCTGAAAGAAAGCCCTGTGAGCTATACCAAGCTTCATGAAACTTCTGGAAATGTGGAGGATCAGAGCAGAAGTGGTTTAGTGAAAAGGAATACAGTATTGCCTCAGAAGCCTTTAGCAGAGAAGGAAGTTGTGAGTGATGAACCAGGAGGCAGTAGTCAGCTTTTAAGAGGAAAAGCTGCAGAGATGTCATTAAAAAGACCACGTCCACCAGTGTTGTCTTTGCGTGGCTCGTCAGAATCTACTTTTTTGTTGCAAGAGTCAGGAAAAGGAAATGGTCAAGGAGAAGATAGGAACTTGCTATACTACTCAAAGCTGGGACTAGTAATCCCATCGAGTGGCTCTGGTCCGGAAAACCAAAGTATTGACAGAAGTGGGCCACTTGTAAAAAGTCTCCTTCGAAGATCATTGTCTATGGACAGTCAGGTTCCTATCTATTCACCTTCTGTTGACCTGAAACCTTCACAGGTATCGTCGTCCTCCTCACCAGGGACTAATGATTCCCAAGGGAAAACATTTAATGTTGTATCTCAAAAGTCATCCTTGAAAGAGTCATCAGAAAAGGTAGTCTTGGATGAGAAACCACAGGTAACACACCCACATCGCCTTAGGTCCTTCAGTGCCTCTCAGTCAACTGATAGGGAGGTTGCTTCCCCTCTCACAGAGGTGCGAATAAAAACTGAACCTAGCAGTCCACTCTCGGATCCTTCGGAAATAATAAGAGTTACAGTGGGAGATGCTTCAACGTCTACAGATAAAGACTTTACTTTTAAGACTGAGGATGATCATAGGGAACCAAGCAGACTTCCAGCCAAAAGGAGATTTCAAGCTGATAGAAGACTGCCATTTAAAAAACTGAAGGTGAATGAGCAGGGTTCTCCTGGGTCAGACGATAACTTTGAGGAAGGCTCAAGCCCTACACATCTTGATGCTGATTTTCCTGACTCTGATGTCAGTAAAGATGAATATAGTGAGATGGAAGAAGCAAGACCAAACAAAAAATTTAAATGCAAGCACTGCCTTAAGATTTTTAGATCAACAGCAGGTCTTCATCGTCACGTTAACATGTATCATAATCCAGAGAAGCCCTATGCTTGTGATATATGCCACAAGAGATTTCACACGAATTTCAAAGTGTGGACACACTGCCAGACGCAACATGGAATTGTGAAGAATCCCTCGCCAGCTTCCAGTTCACATGCTGTTTTGGATGAAAAATTCCAAAGAAAACTCATTGATATAGTGAGAGAGAGAGAAATTAAAAAAGCTCTGATAGTTAAACTAAGACGTGGCAAGCAAGGTTTTCAGGGACAGTCTGCTTCACAAGCACAACAAGTCATCAAAAGAAATTTGCGATCAAGAACCAAAGGATCCTATATTTGCACCTACTGTGGGAAAACTTATCGTTTCCTCTCTCAATTTAAACAGCACATAAAAATGCATCCAGGGGAAAAACCAATTGGAGGAAATAAGGTTCCTAAGCAGAAAGATCATATTCATATTGAAAGCCCGGTAGAAAACAAAGAGGTATATCAGTGCCGTCTCTGTAACGCTAAGCTCTCTTCGCTTATTGAACAGGGAAATCACGAGCGACTCTGTAGAAATGCTACTGTCTGTCCTTACTGCAGCCTTAGATTTTCTTCTCCAGAGCTGAAGCATGAGCATGAAAGCAAGTGTGAGTATAAGAAGCTTACTTGTCTTGAGTGTATGCGCACCTTTAAATCATCCTTTAGTATTTGGCGTCATCAAGTTGAAGTTCACAATCAAAACACAATGGCTCCAACAGAGAACTTTTCTTTACCTATAGTGGATCACAATGGAGAAATAACTAGTTCATCAAGATTGCCTCCTCAGTCAGAAACCAATAAAATAAACAATTTTGTCACTGCAAAGGAAGATGGCGTATTCAGTGATTCATCAGAACAAATTAATTTTGATTCTGAAGATTCCTCCTGCCTACCTGAAGACTTAAGTGTTTCCAAGCAGTTTAAAATTCAAATCAAAGAAGAGCCTGCAGATGATATAGAGGATGAGGTCACTGAAGCCAGTAGAGAACCTAAAGAAGTAGTCTCAAACAAAGATGCTGGCTTGTGGCCCTGTGAAAAGTGTGGGAAAATTTTTACTGTACACAAACAACTGGAGCGTCACCAAGAGCTCTTATGCTCTGTGAAGCCATTTATTTGTCATGTGTGCAACAAGGCCTTCCGAACCAATTTCCGGCTGTGGAGTCACTTCCAGTCTCACATGTCACAGGCTGCGGAGGAGTCCACAAATAAGGAACCTGAGATGTGTCCACCAGCTAATTCCCCATCGCCACCGCCTTTGCCTCCGCCCCCACCTTTACCCAAAATCCAGCCCTTGGAGCCTGATAGTCCAACAGGCTTGTCTGAAAGCTCCACTACTACTGAGAAATTATTTGTCCCACAGGAGTCGGATACGCTCTTTTATCATGCTCCACCACTCTCTGCAATCACATTCAAAAGACAATACATGTGTAAACTCTGTCACAGGACTTTCAAGACAGCATTTAGTCTCTGGAGCCATGAACAGACACACAATTAGGTAGCTTTAACAGATAGGTTAAAAAGCTGGTTCAGTGGAGGCTATTTTCAGAATCTCAGATGTATGCCATGTAAACTAGAATCTAAGAGGATCAAAACAACAACAGTGAAACATTAGGAATTTGTGATGCTGCTTGGATTTGAAGATTAAGGTAACTAACTTTGTTAGTAGATTAAAACCCTGAGTAATTTAAAATACAGTGGTCTGGGATCTAACAGTAACAGAATAATTTTAGTTTTGTTAACACTGAATACGATCACATCCGGATTGTATGCATGGATTTTCATCCTGTGATGTTGGTGTGTGTGCGTGTGTGTATTATATATAAAACAATATATTAAATGAAAAGAGCAACAACAATTTGAATTGTAACTGTGAGTTTATAGTAGTGAAATACTGTAACCTACTCAAAATTTTTTTTTTAAAAGACCACACAAGCTCCATATAAATAGTTGTCAAGCACTTGAAGTTAGGGAAGAAGTGGATGGAGTATCTTGCTGTATTGACTTGGTCTTGGAAATCTTTAGCAATAACAAATTAACCTCAAGTTTGAGTAATACTGATGTTATTGGATATGAATGTCTGATATTTTAAGGGAACATGGAATTTTGTTGTTATATGGAACTTGTGCAAAGTAAAATAGAATCTAAAGTCAGCAATATTATTACTAATATTTTATATAAAAAGTAGCAGCAAGCCTGCTTTCAGCCATTTAATTATACATTTCTAAGAAAAAATAGTGGGGGGGGAGGGGTACGTTGCTTTATATAATGTCCCAAAGACTAATCTACTATAGGTATTTCGGTAGCTACAGTCACTGTATAAACAGCCATCATAATCCAAATGGTACTCTTTATAAATATGAACTAAGGTTGAATGGATGTCAGACAAATTTCATAATTTTTTTTCCACTATTTGTACAACTGTTTATAATTCTAGCTACAAAGGAATGTATAACCATGGAAATGAAAAATGAGAGCTTGTTAAGGGATAGAAGATATAAGTTGTGTTCCTACATGCAGTAATAAGCTTGGCCATGAGTACAAAGATATGTTTTAACAGAAATTTAAAATGTAAATATTTATATAGACACCTGTATAAAGGAAGAAGTATGTATTTGAAATTTGTATTAAGCATACATATCTAGCTCAAAGCAGAGGAAAAAAACACCACACTACAATCACTGCATTTTATGAATACAATACATAGAGTATTTTCTGCTGCTTTCTATCATTTGTGATACTGTGTTGCAATTTTCTAATTTGTTGGAAACTGTGGTAATAATGGAGCCACACAAAATACCTGCAGCCCATTATTTTACCTCAAATCACAACTGGAACATTTAATGTGACTAGGATCATAGATGACTACCAGAAGCTATGGTAAGGGTCCAAAATTATTCCATAAGTAAAAGAAATATTTCCCCAGAAGTAGGTGGTAAACTAACAGTGAAAAATTCTGCTAGAATTTAACCATAATGGAGTGGTGAGGGATAAGAGTGAACAGCAAGAATGCAAGTGATGCATACAGTATTTATGATCCTGACCAACTTTGGCTGGGGAAGGGAGATGGAGAGGATTGCATTCCACGCTACTTAGTCAGAACCCCATCCCTGTTCCTGGAAAGCAACAGGAGTTGGGTCACTGATTACAGTGGGAGCAAGCGTGAGGCTCTAATTCTGTACGTCTCTAATCATGCATTCCTTCACCATCCAAAATTCCCAGAGATGTAAAAAGAAATGCAAACTCGTACAAGGATTTAGCAAAATTAAGCACAAGCGTAACTCTTAAGAATCTGAGAAAGGGCATCCTTAGTTAGGCATGCACAGGAGCAGCTTTTTTAAGTCAAAGCCCCACCAGTTTCTCTCTAAGCAGATTTTTTTTATTATTATTATTTTCCCTGGAAGGTAAGTTTAAAAGAAATGCCTAAGTACGGACCCCAGACTTTTTTCAGCTACCTGAAAATTGCAATGTTAGTTTCAAGTCTTTTCAGTTTCATTGTTAATGAAAATCTAAAACTGTTAGCAAACACCTTCTAATAGTAATGTTTTGTCCTATTCCAGGCAAATTGTTTCTGAATATAATGATGCTAATTGTTAGAATATCAGTTAAACTCTGCAAGTGAAACTGCAGTTAAAGCAAGATTCCTGTGTACCTGTTTAAAAGTGACATTTCTAGATTTTGACTTTTTTATTCCACCCAATAAGACTAAACTTCCTACTGACAAGAAATAATTTCAACATAAAATGGTCATTGCACGCAACCTGGTTTAACAAAGTCAAAAAGACATAAGCCATGCTAAATATCCTTTAGACATATTTAAGAAAAGAAATCTAAGCGTACAAAATGTGAAAACATGTTTTTGTAAAATGGTGCCTAAGTTTTCACCAGTGATTCCTATACACAATAGGTATTTAAAAGTTTATATCTAGCCTTCTGAAAATCGGTATGCCTTCTAAAAGAAAATAGCAACTACTTCAACTATCATATGGTCATCTAACTTCTGTTTGGGATTCTACTATATAAAATATAATAAACACCATACATTTAAAATCAAACACTTGTGCAACATCTTTGAAGAAACTTTGACCTTTTTCTAAGTATAAGATGTATTTAAAAAAAAAAAAATCCTTAAAATATTTTTGGTCTAAATAGCCTCCTACTAAGTTTTGGTTTAGATTTGCTTTTTTAGTATTGTTTTTAACTTTGAGCATGGTCTGTGGTTTTGTTTTTAATTCAGTTCCTGTTATCCAGTAAAGGAATTCAGGATCTGTAAAGTTTAAATATGAGATGTTTATATAGCAGTTCTGGTTTTCTATTAGCTTTTATACGGTATCTTAAAAAGCCCTCGATAGGAAGTGTTTATTTTGGAGGATATGGAATAAATATGCTTCCACTTATATAACTTTAATATATGTTTAAAAAGTTAAATTATGGGAAAAAAATCTTAGTTGCTTCTTTATAAATGTCTTTAAAAGAGTGTCTCGTTTGGCCATAGGCAGAATAAAAGGCAAATCTATAGATACAAAAACCCATCTTCATAATATTTTGTTTAATTTCGTAACGATGTACTACAGTGACACAAAGTTAGAGATCTTGTTAAGTATAAAAAGTTCATTTTGTTTCTTAAATTTTGTGACAGGAATGTGCAGATGATTTAATATATAGATTAGATTAATCTTTAAATCCTTCATTTTTGATTAGTTTTTTTTTTAATGTGTCAGTTAAATCTCAGAACAATCCTGCTTCAGTGGAAGTACAGTGAAAACTTCCGTTGCATTTAAGAGGAGCTGGATTGAGCCAGGAAATGTTTTTTGGGTTTGTTTCTCTTCCCCGTTCCTCTCCCCCTTTCAGGCACTGCACTGGCAAAGCGTATAAGCATATGCTTATGTTCCATTGAGATCAGTCTTAATGCTTTTCTTGTTTGTTTGTTTTAATGTTTGCTTAAGTTCTTTGCTGAATTGGGACCACTATCAACCATTGAAAGTGAGCAATAGCAGGAAAATACGTATAGATTTTTTTTTCAGTTGTAGAACCAAAAATTAAAATGAATCTTCCTCTATATAAAAACTGCATATACAACTAATGTGTAATTCTGCAGTTTTACAAAAGCAAAGGGCATGAACCAGTAGTAATACTGTCTGTACTTCTAATATCTTTTTTTTCTGTATTTGTAAGGGAGGATAAAACACCCTGACAGTTCATTGAGCAGGTAATCTGCTGAAATCAGTGGGTGATACTAGAGTTTGTCTTGTGCATTTCAGAATGGAGATATAGCCTTATCCAGTGAACCAAAACACACAGCTGTAAGAGACCTGTTCCTGCATTTCCTATTTAGGCAAGCCTTTCAGTGACAGCTAGTAGACATTTTGGTTGTTTTTTGTTTGTTTGTTTTTCCCCCCCCCCCCCCCCCCCCCGTCCCAAGTAGGGCATGCAGGTTTGCTCTGAAGCTACATGTACTCTGTTTTTGTTCCAAGCTTCCAGTGAGAAAAGTGGAAGTTCCTCACATGGGATAAGGACAGACTATGCCTAACTTCTCGGCACTGACAGTGACAGTGCAAGTATCTGGCATGAGCCTGTAGTCTGGCATGTGCCTATACTGTTCAATAAAATTGTTTACATTTTCCTACCAGAGCATTTAGATGAAAATCAAAGCGAGCTTAGATTTTTTTGTTTTTTAATGTTGCTGTTAATGAATCAGTGTTAAAATCTTTTTTTTTTTTTCTGAACACAGCCTGATAGTATTTTTAATGTCATTGATTCTTGTTTATTTAAAATGACTTGTGGAAAAACTACTAGAATTGTTGTACACAAAGGGACACTATCAAGAGAAAAGTTATATTCTGTAAATGTACTTATCTGTATTAACGATGCTTGATGCTAATAAAAATCAAAGAACTTAAACATGAATTGACTCATAACACTTGAGCTGCTTGGGCATAAAAATGCCTTTTAAGGGCATCCTCAATTGTTGCAAGGATGTCTGAAAAATGTATCCAAATTCTGTGGGATGAGCTTATTTGTCATGTTGCTTTTTGCTCTAACTGTTCCAGAATAAATGACTTGATCCAATTTTATTTTTTCATTTTCTCAGTGGCACATCTTACTTTTTAAAGATACAAGCGTTGTCTCTAGCTTCCCACCTTTGTAGCAGCATGGTTAATAAAAATACATATAAAAACAAAAAGAACACTTACCAAATACAAATTTTAAGGCTTATTCTTGACAGTGCCCCTTTTTAAAAAGCAGGAAAATGGGATCACTTACAGTGCTCGGGTGCAGGGGAATATTTTCCTAAAGTTTCTAGAAGCTGGAATTGTCCAATATATTTGCTATAGCAATTTCCAATTAGTTATAGAAAATCACTTGTCATTTTAAAGAGTTACAGAAGTAAGACAAAAGAAGCTGGTTTTATAATCCTGTATACCTTGTAGTCATTGTCTATCAGTTCAATACACCAGTGTTGAATTTTAATTAAGAATAGTTTTTACTTTTTTTAGGACTGAGAATTAATAGCTTAGGGTAACTTTTTCTTTAATGTCATGTAAATCCATTGCTGCTTTGTACAACTTTTTCTACTGTGTGTTTTCTTTACTTAGGTCTTGACTAAGAAATGTTGGCGTCCAATAAACTTACACTGTTTCTTTTGAATTATTGTGTCTTATACTGGAATTTCTTGGCAGATCATGATGTTGTTATGCATACCATTATGTCTGTGGGCTGGGAATTTTGTTTACTAAAGAGCATCTTTTGATCTATTTGTTGTATGTAAATGACAGTTTTTACATTACTAAAATAATGGCTTTTTGTTTCAGTAAGTGCCCCATTGAAACTTTTATTGGAGAGGGAAAAAAAAAAAGAAAACCAACTGTTATGC